AGCGAACAGGACATGGTGGAGAAGTGGGGTAAAGACTCGGGTTCGATTCCTGTTGTCGGCAGATTTCCTGTGCCCTAGTGGTGGGCCCTCCCAGTGAGGGGAGTGTTGGAAATGGACACTGGAATGGCCCAAAGTGGTCTTCCCAAGGGCTACAGGTGTCGTCCTGGGAGGGTATGGGTGCGCTGACCCACCAAGTAAACATGCCCTTTTAGCCCAGTTGGTTAGCGAACTGGATATCCGGTTTAGTTTCCTTACTGATTCGAATTCTCCTGGGGAGTACAATTTCCTAGCACTTCTGATTGGTCAAAATTTGCACACATTGCAAGTTTCGGAGACACGTTAATTTGGTCGACCAGAATCGCTATGCTCGTCTAACTCAATTTTGTCGACCAGCAATCCGTCGAAACGCCAATTCTTCCAATTCCGTCTATCAAAAAGCCTCGTCTTTGGTGTCGATTTACTCCCATTGATAAGCGCCTTCTAGACGGGAACTTTGGTCGAGCAGAAGAAACACTTCCACCTCGACCAATTAATCTCGTCGACAGACGATCGTCGTACCCAGATAAAAGTCCTCAAAGTTGTCGATGACCACGAAACGAAGCCGTCTAGACAACGATGTGTTTCTGAAAGCATGGTCTACCTCGACCAAGCGAGGGCGGTGCCTTTTCTCCTCGAGACTCCCCATCCCAGCTCACACTTGGGCACGCACACACGCACACTCCACCAGTAGAGCCTACGTAATAGAGTACAAGGGGGATACCTCGACGGCGTACAAACCCAGCACGCCGCCCACCACACCAGCCATGTTGAAGGACATGGTCCCTAATTTTGCACTTCGTCGTCGCCGACTTCAGCAAGGCGAGCCTGGCCGATTGCGATGGAGCATCAGTTGAAAGCCGGAAAAGGCAGAGCCTTCGTGAGGAAATCTGCAGAGCAATCTTCCCGCGCTTCACCATCTGCTGCAGCCAGGCATAGCTTCTCTCTATGTGCTTGAGGTTGCCTTTGAGCCCCAAGCCCTCTGCGACAGTGATCGCCGACTGGTTGTCCACGTGCAGAGCAGTTGGCTTCCTTCCGTCGAGCAGACGGAACTCTGCAAGGAGGAAGCGCAGACGACGAACCTCCTTGCCAGCTCCTGTAGCTTCTGATTCAGTCGATGAGAGCGTTGCGCATTTGATGCGCTGGCTCGACCAAGAAACTACGGCTCCTCCGAAGATGAAAACGTAGCCGCCCGTGCTCGTCCGATTCTGCTTGTCGCCAGCGTCGTCGGCGTCTGCATAGCCGACCAGACACAGCGACTCTGGTCCGCCGCCGAACTCCAGAGCGGCGTCACGAGTTTCAGCAAGGTAGTGCAGACAGCGATCGACTTCACACTAGTGGTTGTCGCTCCGCACTGTCAGGCAGGGCAGGGTGTGCGCAGGGCAGCGCGATGCGGGGCAGGGCAGGGCGTGCGCAGGGCAGCGCGATGCGGGGCAGGTCAGGGCGTGCGCAGGGCAGCGCGACACGGGGCAGGGCAGGGCGTGCGTGGGGCAGCGCAACGCGGGGCAGGGCAGGGCGTGCGCGGGGCAGCGCGACGCGGGGCAGGGCAGGGCGTGCGCGCGACAGCGCGACGCGGGGTAGGGCAGGGCGTGCGCGGGGCAGCACGGCGCGGGGCAGGGCGTACACGGGCAGTGTGACGCAAGGCAGGGCAAGGTAGGGCACGCGCTGATGGTGCAGCGTAGGGGAGGGCGTAGGGTAACGCGGTAATAGCAATCGGTCACTAGGTAATGGTGGGCCCAGTTGATTCTATCCGTTTTTCTCCGCACTAGACCGCACTCGACCACTCCTATCCGCTCCGCATCATGCTTGGCCATTTTTAGCTCCTATCATGGCATGTTCTAGGGCTCTGCAGCAGCAAGGCTAGCCGCAGCGACAGCGGCTGCAGCACTTCCCACGGTGGAGACCTGAGGGTCCAAGGTGTGGTGGCCCCAGCAGCGGCTTAGCCTGCTGTGGGCGCGACGTCAGTCCTTACAAATACCGAATCCTGACTAGCCCTGGTGGCAATACTTGCTGGCGTCCTGACCACTCTGCTTCCAGCTGTTACCGCCGCCTCGACGACCTTCACCATGAGCGTATTGGTCCCGACGCGATTCCACCGCATTGGCCTTCACGTCTTCGCCAGAGTACTGTTGCATCGGTTGAGTCGCACCTACCTAGTCTATGACCTTTCTTGACTGCACGAGTAGAAATTTGTGTTTCTAGTCTTGGTGCGTGCAATGTTTCTAGCCTTACGCGATTGGGTAACGTTGAGTCCTAGGAATTGAGTAACATTGTGGGTGATTGTCACTTCAAGCTTCTCTTTGATTTCTTCTTCGAACCAGTCTAGAAGGTGCGTGTCGTCACCGGTGTAGAGTAAGTCATCGACTTAGGTGACTAGGAGAATGAAGTTGCTGCGCGACTCCTTCCCGAACATTCCTTGGTCTTGTGGCAATTGAGCGAAACCGGGCTCAATCGGTACGGTGTGTAGATACTGTTGCGACAGGCGGGGCGCTTTGCTTGATGCTGTAGAGCGATTACTGGAGGAGATAGGCGGCGGTGCTGTCCTTTCGAAGGCGTGCGGCTGCTCGACAATGATTATGGCATCGACGATCATGTAGAAGAAGACATTGGGGATGTCGATTTGGCGGAGTGGGCGTTGCTTGATGCGGCGATGAAGATGAGAATTTGCACAGAGGTATGTCTTTCGACTGGTGCAAAGATTAGATCGTAATTCACCGCCCATCTTGCCGCTTAATACTTTCCTTCCCTTCGCCGATGAGCAGGAAATCAGCTTCTAGGTTTCGCGGCGCTTGAGTGCTGCTACTTCATCAGCCATGGCTGCTCCCCACTTCTCACTGTCGGGACCTTGCAGGGCTTGGTGCACGGGTGAGAGCTGGCGAACTGCGATGGCGAGTCCAAGGATGCGAAGGCCGCCATCCCATCCCATCACATGCCATCCCATCCTTTCTCATCCCATCCCAACCCATCCCATCCCATCCCACCCCATCCCATCCCACCCCATCCCACCTCTTGCCATCTCATGCCATCCCATGCCATATCATGCCATCCCATCCCATCCATCCTATCCTATCCCATCCCATCCCATCCCATGCCATCCCATCCCATCCCATCCCATCCCATCCCATCCCATCCCATCTCATCCCATCCCATCCCATCCGTCCCGTCCCATCCCATCCCATCCCATCCCATCCCATGCCATCCCATGCCATCCCATGCCATCCCATGCCATGCCATGCCATCCCATGCGCCTCATCCATCCCATCCTATCCCATCTCGTCCCATCCCATCCCATTCCATTCCATCCCATCCCATCCCATCCCATCCCATCCCATCCCATCCCATCCCATCCCATCCCATCCCATCCCATCCCATCCCATCCCATCCCGTCCCATCCCATCCCAATGAATACAATCCCATCCCATCCCATCCCAACCCAACCCATCCCTTCTGGTATGGCAGCGTACTTGTTGGGTGCCTGATCATGCCACAATTCATGTTGTTCCAACAAGGTCCAAGGTTACACAATCTCAAACATGCTGCCTTGGTTCATGCCTCGTTCACTTCTTGCTCCTCTTGAGCATAACCCTTGGCAGTCAGCTTCTTCGGCGCTTCCACCTTCTCCTTCTCCTCTTAAGCCTTTCCCTCATTCCTTATTCTTCTCCTTGTCCATATCTTCTACCCACAACGACAAGGTTATTGGCTATTCACGTTACTACAACTGTCTGTAGATACCTACGTGGCCCCACCACTAGCAATGTGAGCAAGGGATTATCCATATATTGCAGTTACTACAGTGTGTTTATGTGACCAATACAGCAAGCATTCATCAGACCTTCAGCAAAGAATGTGAACATGTGTCAAACACGTGCTATCCGAAGACATACGGTACCATGATCCCTTCAATGTTCCCTTCAATGTTTAAGCAAATGTGCCTACACGAACTTGAATAATTCTAGCATGATAAGTATTGCTGAAGGGTATATGTACTTAGCATTGGGTTCTCAATATCAACTGTATATAGATTGAACCGAACACAAGGCAGTAAAGGCAAGCCCAACATAGCACCCCAGAAGTATCCTCCCCATAGGATTCTCCTGATCCGTTCCTCTTATTCTACTCATCGTTTCCTGTTATTCTCCTCATCCCTTCCTCTTATTCTCCTCATCCCTTCCTCTTATTCTCCTCATCCCTTCCTCTTATTCTCCTCATCCCTTCCTCTTATTCTCCTCATCCCTTCCTCTTATTCTCCTCATCCCTTCCTCTTATTCTCCTCATCCCTTCCTCTTATTCTCCCCATCCCTTCCTCTTATTCTCCCCATCCCTTCCTCTTATTCTCCTCATCCCTTCCTCTTATTCTCCTCATCCCTTCCTCTTATTTACCTCATCGCTTCCTCTTATTCTCCTCATCCCTTCCTCTTATTCTCCTCATCCCTTCCTCTTATTCTCCTCATCCCTTCCTCTTATTCTCCTCATCCCTTCCTCTTATTCTCCTCATCCCTCAGTCTTCTCCCCATTCGTCCATTCTCCTCGTCCCCCATATTATGCTCCTAATGCTGCCTCCTCTTCTGCTCATCCCTCATCCTCTGCTCCTCTCTCTTCCTATGCTCCTCATCCTGTTTCTTATGCTCCTCATCCCTCCTCTTCTGCTCCGCATCCCTCCTCTTGTCCTCATCCCTCCTTTTTTTCTCGTCATCTTTCTGCTTTCTCTCCCTTTCCTTCCTCATATCATCCTCCTCCTTCCTCCTCTTATCATCCTCCCTCTTCCTCTTATTCTCCTCATCCCTTCCTCTTATTCTCCTCATCGCTTCCTCTTATTCTCCTCATCCCTTCCTCTTATTCTCCTCATCCCTTCCTCTTATTCTCCTCATCCCTTCCTCTTATTCTCCTCATTCCTTCCTCTTATTCTCCTCATCCCTCAGTCTTCTCCCCCTTCGTCCATTCTCCTCGTCCCCCATATTATACTCCTAATGCTGCCTCCTCTTCTGCTCATCCCTCATCCTCTGCTCCTCTCTCTTCCTATGCTCCTCATCCTGTTTCTTATGCTCCTCATCCCTCCTCTTCTGCTCCGCATCCCTCCTCTTGTCCTCATCCCTCCTTTTTTTCTCGTCATCTTTCTGCTTTCTCTCCCTTTCCTTCCTCCTCTTATCATCCTCCCTCTTCCTCTTATTCTCCTCATCCTTCCTCTTCTGATGCTCATCCCTCATCCTCTGCTCCTCTCTCTTCCTATGCTCCTCATCCTGTTTCTTATGCTCCTCATCCCTCCTCTTCTGCTCCTCATCCCTCCTCTTCTGCTCCTCATCCCTCCTCCTCTGCGCCTCATCCAGGCTCCTCCGCGTAGCCTCCGCCGTTTCCACGTCAGCATCCGCGTCTCCCTGCAGCGGGGAGAGCAGGTCGTTTGCCGCCAGAGCGCCAGCAGCCCTCGCATGGGCCGAGTCCGCTTCGTCATTCATGAGAGAGCGGATCGCTCTCACATCCGCGCTCTTGCGCACGTCTCCCGACAGCGCCTTGCGTGTGCCCAGGCCGGGCATTGCAGCGAGACCGGGGTTCATGACGTCAGCCGTCACGGCGGGCAGGGGCACGGCGACGAGCAGCGTACAGAGGAGCACCAGGAAAGCGCGAAGCACGGTCATTGCTGCTCACGATTGAACGATTCTCTACTAGAGTGGTATTTCTCTTGGTGGCTAGTACTGATGGGGATGAATGAAAGCGCGTGCAGCTAAATACTGCTGCAAGCTCACGTGGTGAGGCCATGGCTCGGGGTTCACTGGTGCGATTATTCAACGTGTGTAAGGAACTTCGAAGCGCGCTATTATTGCAGCAACGAGTCGCCGCGAAGGACGCTGGAGTGCGAAACATTCCCTTCTCATAATCTCCACGGCTGCTGGCTCTCCACGGCTGCTGGCTCTCGTGTGTGAATTGCGCACGAATGTCCTTGCCTAAACTTTTAGCCACCGCAGCGATGAGTGCGCCATTAGCGAGAACCGCTGGAAAACTCGTGCAAGGTTATCCTCGCGAAGCGCATTGATCTGCCAATAATTACAAATCACAATTATCGGCAACAAATATGGTTCGCAAGTTCTAGATAGAGCTAAGCTACACTTCCCAGCAAGTTTGTATATAAACGATTTTGTGAAAGACAAGAGGTTTATATAACCACTTTAACATACATACAGATACCCACAACACCTAGAACCGAAAATAATACACTTGGAGTTTACTGAATTTAGCCATTTCACTACAGTGCGTCTCCTTACAGATGGATGGACACGTGGAAAGAGTCTTAACACAAAAAAGCTGTTAAAGCTGCGTTGATACCGTAAGCCCCCGGATAGAAGCGCAGGCCTCGGATAAGCGCCGGCGCTTATAAAAGGATGAGGGCGCTTATATCCGGTCCTCGATTATAAGCGCACCCCCTAAAAATTCATGATTTATTATAAGCGCATGCCAATTTTATATCTGAAAATCAGTCGAAATACAGAAACGAATTTCACCTTACCAGGGAAGCGAAGTACAGTTCCAGTTTCCCACTCACATCTCACTTGCTTCGCGTCTAGTCAGCACGTGCTGTCACTTTGTCAGCATGTGTTGGCAAAAAATCAATCCCTGCCAAGCTGAGCGAGAATCAGATTCGCGACCCCAGATATTTTAGACTCGATTACAATGTGCAGAACGAGACTACTTAATTTCATTTTTGCCGTCATATAAGCGCCGGCGCTTATAAAAATCCTCAATTATAAGCCCACCCCCTAAAAAACAGTGTTTTTTTATACCCCCAGGGGCGCTTCTATCCGGGGGCTGACGGTAAAACCAGAGGGTGCGTTCACTCCCCATGCACGAACCACACAAGATCAATGGTTCGGCCATGGCTGGTAAAGGCCACATCCATGGCCAGGCGCCGAGAGACTGCATCATAGTGCACATCCACGGCTGTGCCATCAGCCATTGCTGCATGTGGGGCCTTGCACGCATACGCCACCAGCTCCCCACCACCTTTCACCTGCAGAGACACACTCACCCGCACACGCCTGCCACTTGGCCCCAGCCCCTGAGCCCCCCTCACTGCTGCAGCAGTCCCGTGCACCTCGGTCTTGTTATGCGTGCTCGTGGGTTGTGGTGCATGGCTGTGGCGGGTGTGGCGCTGCGCTGCGTTGTGATGGCCGTGGGGTGGAGATGCTGACACTGCGCTGCATGTGCTGTCACTGCCACAATGCAGCAAGCTTGATGCCACGAAAATCGGCTTAAAGTGCCTGCATATGTTGGATTGAGTGCGTGTGTCACAGTGGGTGCAAGTGTTACACGTGGACCACGTGTCGCAACAAGTGCATGTGGAGCAGGCGTGAGCAGCAGGGGCAGCAGTGGCGGTGCATTGCATGGCAGTGACAGCGCCTCCTGAGTTGAGCATGTTTACAAGGCCGATGGGGGCAAAGCACAGCCCTGGCAGCACCTGCTCATGGGAAGAGGGGAAGGCACAAGGCACACCCCTGGCGCATGAGGCGCTGATGTGTGAGGCGCTGATGTGTGAGGCCCTGATGCGTGAGGCCCTGATGTGTGAGGCCCTGATGTGCACCCCTTGCTTTTCTCACAATGAAGCTGCTGCTGACTGTTCCAGATTACAATCTGTTCATGCATATGTAATGTCGACGAGGGGCAACAGGACTAGGGGGCAGAGGCACGACAGTATTCATATAATAAACGTTATTATCCAATGTTCTAGCGATTCAAAGTGCACAAAAGCCATCAAAGTGTTCCGAGGCGCATCAAGGGGCGCTTCAAAGTGCTCATAAACATGTCAAAACCATCCATGTGTGGTGCAGGTGCAGGTGGCGAGAGTGTGCACGGCTCACTTGGACGGGTGCGAGAGTGAGGATGTCAAAGTGCAGGCGTGTGAGCGACACACGCACGCCCTTCCACCCACACCGTGCTGCACCGCCCTCCAATGTGTGGCACCGAGCCACCCCACCACCAGGTGCTCTGCTGTGTGCTCTGGGCAAGCCCGGCTGCTCCAGACCATGCGATGACGATGGTGAGGGTGGTGAGGAGGGTGAGGAGGGTGAGGGTGCTTGCTGTTGGAGTGGGTGGTCCTGCATGCATGTGCAGACCTGCTCCAGTAGCAGCTCCTCTGCATGGCACACATGGCAACATGGAGCAACAAGTGGCGCATGGAGCAACAAGTGGCGCATGGAGCAACAAGTGGCGCATGGAGCAACAAGTGGCGCATGGAGCAACAAGTGGCGCATGGAGCAACAAGTGGCGCATGGAGCAACAAGTGGCGCATGGAGCAACAAGTGGCGCATGGAGCAACAAGTGGCGCAAGGAGCAACAAGTGGCGCATGGAGCAACAAGTGGCGCATGGAGCAACAAGTGGCGCATGGAGCAACAAGTGGCGCATGGAGCAACAAGTGGCGCATGGAGCAACAAGTGGCGCATGGAGCAACAAGTGGCGCATGGAGCAACAAGTGGCGCATGCAGCAACAAGTGGCGCATGGAGCAACAAGTGGCGCATGGAGCAACAAGTGGCGCATGGAGCAACAAGTGGCGCATGGAGCAACAAGTGGCGCATGGAGCAACAAGTGGCGCATGGAGCAACAAGTGGCGCATGGAGCAACAAGTGGCGCATGGAGCAACAAGTGGCGCATGGAGCAACAAGTGGCGCATGGAGCAACAAGTGGCGCATGGAGCAACAAGTGGCGCATGGAGCAACAAGTGGCGCATGGAGCAACAAGTGGCGCATGGAGCAACAAGTGGCGCATGGAGCAACAAGTGGCGCATGGAGCAACAAGTGGCGCATGGAGAAACAAGTGGCGCATGGAGCAACAAGTGGCGCATGGAGCAACAAGTGGCGCATGGAGCAACAAGTGGCGCATGGAGCAACAAGTGGCGCATGGAGCAACAAGTGGCGCATGGAGCAACAAGTGGCGCATGGAGCAACAAGTGGCGCATGGAGCAACAAGTGGCGCATGGAGCAACAAGTGGCGCATGGAGCAACAAGTGGCGCATGGAGCAACAAGTGGCGCATGGAGCAACAAGTGGCGCATGGAGCAACAAGTGGCGCATGGAGCAACAAGTGGCGCATGGAGCAACAAGTGGCGCATGGAGCAACAAGTGGCGCATGGAGCAACAAGTGGCGCATGGAGCAACAAGTGGCGCATGGAGCAACAAGTGGCGCATGGAGCAACAAGTGGCGCATGGAGCAACAAGTGGCGCATGGAGCAACAAGTGGCGCATGGAGCAACAAGTGGCGCATGGAGCAACAAGTGGCGCATGGAGCAACAAGTGGCGCATGGAGCAACAAGTGGCGCATGGAGCAACAAGTGGCGCATGGAGCAACAAGTGGCGCATGGAGCAACAAGTGGCGCATGGAGCAACAAGTGGCGCATGGAGCAACAAGTGGCGCATGGAGCAACAAGTGGCGCATGGAGCAACAAGTAGCGCATGGAGCAACAAGTGGCGCATGGAGCAACAAGTGGCGCATGGAGCAACAAGTGGCGCATGGAGCAACAAGTGGCGCATGGAGCAACAAGTGGCGCATGGAGCAACAAGTGGCACAAGGAGCAGGGAGAAGGAGAAGGGAGAGATGGGGGTCTTAAGCATGTGACACACGTGCACATGTGACAGGCAGAGCATGGGCTCGCAACACATGTGAGACAGTATGGAGTAGGAGGGGGACATGTTGTGTAGTAGAACGGCCAAGCAAGCATCTCTTGCACAGCAATGTCAGCTTTCCGCACAAGCCGCCCTACATAGGGAAGAGTCTACCCACTTGATTGATGGCTGTACATTGCCACATCACCCTGCCAATATGAACCTGCCACGTCTGCCAGCTTGTCCACGTCAGCAGGTGAGACGGTACAGGTGGCAGCAGAGGTGGCGCTGTGGTGCTCGTTGAAGACATACTGCCGCCCCTCCTTGCTCCATGCTGCGCCCTGATTGGTGGAGATGAAACAGCGGTCCGGGCAATGATACTAGTCAAATACATGATGTGGCATGAGGCCATGGTTTGGTTGACATGAGAGAATGAACGGAGATGGAAAGTTACTGGCTGAAGAGAGATGAGGGGGGGGAAGCGAGCTGGCAATGGGGATTTGTGCAGGAGTAAAGGGGAAGGATGGTGGAAGGGCAGAGTAAAGGGGAAGGATGGTGGAAGGGCAGAGTAAAGGGGAAGGATGGTGGAAGGGCAGAGTAAAGGGGAAGGATGGTGTCACAGTGGAATGTGGCAGCGGGGGATGCAGTGCACAAATGCGTCCCAAAGCTCCATAGCCTCTCCGCTGCGTTCCCCTTACCCAGGTACTCCCTCCCTCTCTCAGCCCTGGTGTTGGTGCAAGCAGCAAGCACGCATGCGCACCTGGCAGTTGAAGACACCCACAACACCGCCACAGGGGTTGATGTTCCACACCTTGAGCAGCCTGCACGCACACACACGTGCCGTGGGGTGATGCGTGCAGTGCATGTGTGTTTGTGTGTGTGTGTGTGTGTGTGTGTGTGTGTGTGTGTGTGTGTGTGTGTGTTGTGTGTGTGTGTGTGTGTGTGTGTGTGTGCATGCGTGCACGTGTGAGTGTGAGTATGCATGCATGGGGGGACAGCATACAGGAGAAGGTGAGCGTGAGTTGTAAGGCAGGTTTGAGGAGGAAGAATGAATGCATGAGGGGACAAGGTGTCGTGGTGAGTCATGGTAGTGGTGAGTCATGGTAGTGGTGAGTCATGGTAGTGGTGAGTCATGGTAGTGGTGAGTCATGGTAGTGGTGAGTCGCAAGCAGCAGAGAGTCACGCAGGCAGTGATGGATGGACGAGATATGGCAACCTCAAATGCATGTGGCACTGGCAGCTGTTACCACAACAGCTGTAGCTGTTACCACAACCCAAGCATGCACTCCCAAACCACCGCACACTGCCATGGAGTGCACGAACGACAGACCTGGGGGGGTGTGCAGCGGGGTCGAGGAAGAGGCAGTCGCGGGTGGGGCGGCCGGGCAGCAGCGCGCGCAGCAGAGAGCCGTCGGGCAGCACCAGGCGTGCCAGCAGTGCGCTGCTGTGCTGCCCGGGCTTGTCACTGCGCCGTGCAGGGAGGGCGATGTGGGAGATGGGCGAGGGGTAGGAGAGAGAGGAGAGGGGGGGGGAGGGGGAAGAGGGGGGAGGAGAGGGAGGAGAGGGAGGAGAGGGGAGTGAGGGAGAAGAGGTGGGGGGGGGAGAGAGAGAGGGGGAGAGGGAGGAGAGAGGAAGGAGAGGGGGGAGAGGTGGGAGAGGGGGGAGTGGGGGAAGAGGGGGGTGAGGGGGGAAAGAGGGGAGACGGGGAGAGGGGCGAGAAGGGGGAGAGCGGGGAGAGTGGGGAGAGGCGGGGTAGGGTGGAGTGGGGGGAGAGGGGGGAGAAGAAAGAGAGGGGGGAGAGGGAGGAGAAGAAAGAGAGGGGGAGAGGGAGGAGAGAGAGGAGAGGTGGGAGAGGGGGGAGAGGGTGGGGAAGAGGGAGAGGTGGGAGAGAGGGGAGAGAGGGGAGAGAGGGGAGAGAGGGGAGAGGGAGGAGAGGGGGGAGAAGGTAGAGCGGAGGGAGAGGGGTTGAGAGGGGAGAGGGGAGAGAGGGTAGAGAGAGAGGAGAGGGGGGAGAGGGGAGTATGGGGTTGAGGGACGGAGGGGAGTAAGGCAGGTGTTGCAGCAGATAGGCATGCAGCGGCATTCGCTCTGCAAGAAACCATGGCAGGGTGACTGGGCTTGTTGTGGGGAAGGGTTGGGCAAGGGACAGGTGCAGCACGGGAAAGGTGAGCAGCGAGAGAGGGAAGCAAGAATGCGTGTATTCAGGCTGGTGGGTGGCAATTCGTGCAGTCAGGTGGATGCATGGTGGCGCGTGGGAGATAAGAAGAGAAGAGCAAGGAGGTGAAGCTACTCGAACCAGGAGGAGCCACCAACATCTGCCTCTCCTCCCTCACCTCCCACCCACCCGTCTCCCACACACATCAAATCCCACGCACATCGATTTCCACACACACCTTCTCCCACCCGCTACACCGCCCTTCCCCCGCCCTTCCCCTCTCGTCGCCCCCCACCTGACATAGACGGGGCAGCCCCCCACGGCCCTGGCAGCAGCGTGGAACTCCGCCGCTGGGTGCTGTGACTGGTGCCACGCCGTGCACGGGGGAGGGCGAGGTGGAAGAGGAGGGGAGGGAGAGGCGTGATTGAGATGGGAAGATTGACAACGCGTTGCGGAAACAGATGGAATTAGGCGAGAGGTGCAGCAGGGGAGAGCAAACGCCAAAGCAAAGCGGGAAGCGGGGGATAGGCTGGGCGGGGCAAAGGCACAGTGCAAGCGGAGGAGGCTGCTGCTGCTGGTGCTGCTGAGGGCAGCGCCATGAACCCTGCATAGCTCGACTTGTTACCTTGGCCTCACCGCCTTGCCGTCACGCTAAACGCCTCCCCGCTCCTGATTGACTCACCCGGGGACCCACGCCATAGCAAGGGGGCTAGAGCGGCGGTTGATCTAGGTGTGCATCTGTGCTGCTGTGCTGTGCTGTGCTGTGCTGTGCTGTGCTGTGCTGTGCTGTGCTGTGCTGTACTGTGCTGTGCTGTGCTGTGCTGTGCTGTGCTGTGCTGTGCTGTGCTGTGCTGTGCTGTGCTGTGCTGTGCTGTGCTGTGCTGTGCTATGCATGCACTGGATGTTGGCGAGGTGGGCATGCTACAGGGCGAGCGGTGAGTGCAACGGGTGGGTGGAGGGGAGCGAGTGAGGGGAGGGCAGCGAGTGAGTGAGGGGAGGGTAGTGAATGGGGTAGGAGAGAGAGGGGGTGGGAGTGCGAGGGGGGCTCGGGGCGACCTGGAACATGTCCCAGTCGGGGTACATGAACTCGCCCATGAACACACTGTTGTACGCCACCTGCCATGGGGGCACCGTGCATGCCATGCACACGGGGCACACGGGCAGGGGGGCACATGGGCAGGGGGCACGGGGTGTGGCGTATGTGGGGAGAGGGGCACTGAGCATCTGTGGTGGCATGTATGGAGCGTGCACGGTGCGTGCACGGTGCGTGTATGGTGCGTGCATGGTGCGTGTGTGGTGTGTGTGTGTGGTGTGTGTGTGTGTGTGTGTGTGTCCGGTTCGTGTATGGTGGCGTGTATGGTGGCGTGTATGGTGCGTGTTCGGCAGATGCATGAAACTGAACCATACAGCAATGAGGTGGGCAGTCTGCGAGGCAGCATCGTGGGGCCAGAAGTCATCGGATGCGCGCATCACAGCCGTCTGCTTCATGCTGCGCACAAGCGATCACAGGGGCAACAAGGCAGGGGAGCAGGTGGGCAGTGGGGCGGACGCACATATAGGGAAGGGCACACGCGGGAGGAGTGGGTCCACACAGTGTGGAAGAGGTCATCATAGAAGCAACTAACCTGTGGAATCTCACACACGACACCCGCTCACGATACCCATCCCCATGGTAGCAAAGCAAAAGAAGACGAGAAGAAAGCATGCCCTTCCTCCGAATCCACCCCACCAGCACCAACGTGAGGAGCGACCCCACGCTGAGCCCCATGCACACCACCACCGTAGCAGTACCCAACCACACTCTCCATCCCCCCCCAAACCCCTTCCACACCCTGCCCCCCTCTCCCTCTTCCCACTAAGTATCTGCACGGCCCGGCACGCACGAGAGCAGCGAGTCGACGCCATGGCTCATGGACGCCAGCACGCGCCCCTCGCCGCCAAACGCCCTCCCCGCCGCCTCCTCCAGCGCACCGTAGAACCCCCGTGCGAGCTGCACGCGGCCGCCCTGCCCCGCGCCCAGCATCTGCAGCACGTTCTGCACGTCCACCTTCACGCCGTCCGCTCCCCACCGCGCCATGCGCGCATGCAGCGCAGAGAAGAAGGGCAGGGCGAGGGACGGGGAGATGAGGCCGAGGCCGTTGAGCACGAGGCAGTCCTCTGACAGGTCGGGCTGCGCGTGTAGCATGGCGGGGGAGGGTGTTGGGAAGACGAGGGAGGGGGAGAAGGGGCGGAAGGCGGGGACGGACGGGTGCACGCCCCCCCAGTAGCCGATCAGCGCGTGCCACATGTACACTTGCCTGGAGGTGGGGGACACAGGTAGGGGGGAGGGGTGGAGCGGGAGGGTTGAGAGCGGGTGGGTTTGAAAGGTTGGGGAATAGGAGAAAATAATGGGAATGGGCGATGCCACGTGGGGGAAGGGGAGCTGGTATGAAGGGCAGAGCATAGCAGTGAGGATGGTAAGGGGGGTTGAGTTGCAATGTTGCTCGTTTATATGCATTGTGCTGTGCAGTGCAGCAACGCTGCCACATGTGTGCGTGAAGAGCAGTGGAGCATGTGTTGTTGTACGTGAACAGCACATATGGACACTCCGTGCAAGCGTCACACGCGAATGTCCCCCAACCTTTCTGTTTGGGGTCGTCCGAGCCCTCGTGACCACAAAGTGGAGCACAATGTGGTCAAGAGCCGCACGTTGGACGTTTTGTGTTCCCATCCTTTGCATCGCATTCCATGCCCGCATCCCTGACTTGCCTGAGTCCATGCCTCTTCTTCAGCGCCCATATGTCCACTGGCGCCTCCACACCAATCCCGCCCTCTTCCCCTTCTCCCCCCTGCCCGCTCTCCTCCGCCTCGCCCTCCTCCTCTCCAATCCCCCCTCTGCCCCCATCACTGATGCGTCCACCCGCACACTCCTCTCGCCCCCACGTGGGAGCAAACCCCTGTTTGGCAGCGAGGCTCATGAGTCGCCCCACGTAGCGCCGAGGGTCGTCCACTGGCCCTGCCACCACCGCTGCTGCTGCCCCTGCCACCACCGCAACAGGTACTGCCGCCTTGCCTTCTGCTGCTGGTGCCGCTGCTATAATTGCTGGTGCCGTTCCTTGTGTGGGCACAATGACACCATGTTCGACTGGCACCGCACCATCCCCTCCCAGTACCTCCCCACAACTCCCAATGTCTCCCATGCGACTCGCCTCCCCCGCATCCACCACCTCCCCCACAGCATCCAAGGGAATCATGTCCGCTCGGACACCTGCTTGCGCCGCCTGCACTCTGCATTCCCTTGCTGCTGCCGCTGCTGCTTCCGCCTCCACTGCTGGAGCAGCAGCGTGCGGCAGCAATGAGGCAGTGCTGCTGTTACATGCAACATGTGTGTTACCACCATAAAGAGCAGCACTCTCCGCGGGTGGGAAAGTAGTAGGTGGTGAGGGTAAGCGAGGCGGGGAATCCAAGTGCGATGACGAATGGCAATGGCGGTTGTGGTGGTCATTACCAGTGCCAGAACCACCTACGTGTGCTTCAGCCTTCACCTGCTCCACTCCGACTGCCTTCTCCCCCCTTCCATTGCTCCTTTGCTCTCCTTCTCCCTCCCCTACTCTCTCCCCTTCTTCCTCTTCACTCTCCTCTTCTCCCTCTTCTTCTCCCCCCTCTCCTTCACCCTCCCCCTCCCCCTCCACGGCCTCATCAGCAGCAGTGGCCTGCCAGCCATCATCAATTACCAGAATGCGAGCTGGCGTGCCGCCCGCTGCCAGGCTGACCAAAGAAAGGCAGCAGGACCAGGAAGGGGGTGGAGAAAAAGGGTGAGGTTAGGAGGAGGGAAGAGGCGGAGGAAGGAGGGAGAAAAAGGGCGAGGGTGAGAGGAGGGGGTGACAGATGACACATGGAACGTACAGTACGCGTGAACTGCAAGCACACCTGTTGAGATGGAGGTGATTAAGAGTGATCAGAGAGTTGACCTGGGGGGCGTCACAGATAGATGTGTTATGCTTCCGATCCAATGAAAAGCTGTCCACTCCACCCATGTGTCTTTCACTGCTGCAATCTATTCCTTCCTTCCAAGCCAGTGCATGCACGTGTGTGGCAGTGCACTGCACCTGGAGAGGCCAGCAGTGATGCCGGCGCTGTCCACGTGTGTGTACAGGGCATTCCACGTGCACCACCCAAACCACTGCAGCACCTCTGGTACCTGCGGGTAGGGCAAGCGGGGACAGGGCATGGGGGGCAAGGCATGGGGGGGCAGGGCATGGGGGGGCAGGGCATGGGGGGGCAGGGCATGCGGAGGAGAGAGGGGATGTTGGGAACGGAGAGGAAATTGGGCGAAAGGAGTGGATCACTTGCGGGAGAACGAGGTAGGTTAGGGTACAATGGTGGTGTGGAAGGGCATGATGCGGTGGGGGGATGAGATAGAATTGGGTGATGAATCCGGAGGGCTCTGCTGCACTGACTTTAGACTGGTGTATATGGATCGTGGTGTGGCAGGGCAGCACGGTACACGACAGGACAGGACAGGACGGGACAGGACAGGACAGGACAGGACAGGACAGGACAGGACAGGACGGGACGAGACAGGACAGGACGGGACGAGACAGGAAAGGACGGGACGGGACGGGACGGGACGGGACGGGACGGACGACACGACACGACACGACACGACGTGTGCGCTGATGACACGCAGTGGCAGGCGCTGAGCTCACCGGCTTCTCTTCCCGCCTCTTGAACGTGCCCAGCTGCTGCTGCACGGCCCTGCAGTACCAAGGGTGGTGAGGTGGTGATGATGACAATGCTGTGTATGTATGGCAGAGCCGAGCAGAGGGACAGGGCAGCGCATGGCATGATGAAGAACTAAATCCGCCCCCGCAGAGTTGAGTTGACACAGTGGCATGTGCTGTGGCGTCGCACAGCAACTGCATGGGAAGGGCAGTGGAGAAAGGTGGAGAGTAGCAGCAGCAGCGACAGCAGAAGCAACAAGGAAGGGCCATGCGAGGGAGGGAGGCATACTTAATGGAGCGTGCGATGGTGTCAAAGGGGTTGCTGCCCGCCCCCATGAACGCCCCTCGCTGCGCCACACTGCCCCTCACGTAGCGATCACCTGGGATGCCATACAGAGGTTTAATTTATGGCAGCGTGGCAGTACACATGGCATGGGCATGCGCATGGCAATGGGCATGCGCAGGGCATGGGCATGGGCATGGGCATGGGCATATGTATCATGCACAGAGCAGGAACGAGCGGTGGCAAAGGGGGTGAGGGACGGACCGGAATCAAGGCAGAGCTGCAGGCGATCGTGTGGGGAGCCCTGCAGTGATGCGGCAAACACACCGTCCAGCAGCGGCATCACCATCACGTACACTGCTCCACTGCCCTCGCTCCCTCCACCGTTCTCCCTGCCTTCTCTGCCCTCAATGCCTTCAATGAACTTGGTCTCTCCAACTCTACTGCTCGCTGTGCCTAAGGAGGCGTTCTCTCCGACCCCAGTGCTCGTTGCTGTGTGATTCAAACGCTTGCCAGCCTGCCGTTGCACGAGCCACACTCCCATGCACGTTTGCCCACAAAATGGTGCACACATGTTCCACACATGCACACCCACACAGACGCACACACACACACACACATCCACATGCAATGCGGATGCAGGGGGGCAAATTGAGGATGAGAGCAGCGATGAGAGGGGCGGGGCAAAGCACTCATGGGCGGGCGCACACATGATTGTAGGGCAGGTGCCTTGCTGGGGTGCAAACCACACACCCCTCACTCCCCATCATTTTCTCCCTCACGCTCTCTCTCTCCCTCTCCTCGCATCTCCCCAGCTGTTCCTTGTGCCTCGCATCCCCTCTCCACTCCCACTTTCTCCCAACCCATTCCTCGTCTTGCACCTTTCCCGTCTGTATGTCCCCTCATCGCATCTGCTGCATGTATCACCATCCCCATGCCCATCACCGCATGTCACCTGCAGTGGTGGCGGAGGCAGCAGGCGCAGGAGCAGGAACTGTGTTTCCACGGGCACGTCTCTGCCGCACGTGCCCACGCGCTGGGTCATCCACCACAGCTTGAACCGGAAGCAGCACATGAACTCGTGACCCCTGCCATGCCCATGCCCATGCCCATGCCCATGCACATGCCCATGCCCGTGCCCGTGCCCATGCCCATGCCCATGCCCATGCCCATGCCCATGCACATGCCCATGCCCATGCCCATGCCCATGCCCATGCACATGCCCATGTCCGTGTCCGTGCCCGTGCCCGTGCCCATGCCCATGCCCATGCCCATGCCCATGCCCATGCCCATGCCCATGCCCATGCCCATGCCCGTGCCCGTGCCCGTGCCCGTGCCCATGCCCATGCCCATGCCCATGCCCATGCCCATGCCCATGCCCATGCCCATGCCCATGCCCATGCCCATGCCCATGCCCATGCACATGCACATGCACATGCACACGGACGCACACACCACATGAGACATGACAAGTCGCAAGTCCATGGGGCACCAACCAGCACCTCGCCCTTCCCCTGCGCTCCACCTGTGCGCGCACCGTGTGATCTGCTTGACTTGCCTTGGCTTGGGGTGCCACAACAGAACACAACAGAACACAACACAGCACACCACAGCACTGCCTTCACTCGCTTCTCACACCCGGCCAACGCAATTAATGGAGCGTTTGCTGTTCTCCCCATGGGACTCCTAAGAGTGCCCCTGCCGCTGCAAGCAGTGCTGTGCTGTGCGGTGCTGCATTCACAGCGAGGGGTGTGCTGGGTGGTAAGGGCGGTAAGGGCGCACCTGAGAGTCCCCAGATCCACCACCGCATGGTGACGTGGACAGTCCAACGTGGCGCCCAGAAACGCGCCGGAAAACCCGCCCTCATCCCCGCCCTCCCTGCTTTCTCCCTCCCCGTTTTCTCCCTCCCCGTTTTCTCCCTCCCAACTTTCTCCCTTCCCCCGCTCCGCGCCAGTGGCGGCGAGGTGGAAGCTGGTGCCGGCGGGCACGTCCGCCAGCACGCAGCGCCCCGCGCACTCGATGCGGCGCCGGGCGGAGTCGAGGCGGATCGCTGGCGCGCGGTCAGCGCGGCGGGCGGGAGCGGCTGCGCGGCGGCACGGCATGGAACGGCGGCAGCAGCAGCTCGTCATGTAGCGGCGGGGAAGCGGGAGCGGCGCGCGTGGACACGGGCTCGCGGCGCGTGAGAACGAGAGTAACACCAGTATTCCCTCGCAGATTCAATAGAAAGTCGAAACGGCGCGCAAGCAAGCAAGAGCGGAGAGAGGAGAGCGCGCGAGTGGGATAGCAGGATGAACCGCAGGCGACCTCTCTCTCTCTTTGAAGCTGTTGGAAGAAGGATGAACGGCGACAAGCAGTCCCGCAGCAAACTCTTTCGACCAACAGGAAGGTTCTCGTTTGTACCGCTCTTAGCGCCGTAGTACCGCTGCAGCGGCATTTCGGCGGCGGGTGAGAGTGCAGGCGCGGAGAATGTGCGCGGCCGCGAAAGCAAGAAGAGGCGGGGAGGCCAACTTGCCGCGGAGCACTGCCATGGTCGGGGTGGGACCAAGCTCGCGCGTTGTTACGCTCGCCGCAGCAGCGGCAGTAGTAGCGCGGCACAACGGGAACGCCGCCGCGAATTCCAATTTGTGGAGATTGACGGTCCGCGGCGCGAAATTACAGCGTAGCGGGCTCCGGGCATCGCCATGCGCGTGATACTATGCCACGCGGACATGTGTACAGCTGGAATGGAGTCGTGAGTATGACGTTTCTCCAAGGAGTCGCGGGAACTTCCTCGCTATAGGACACTCAATGGAGAGGAGCTTTGTATCAGTGGTCATCGCATAATTTGGGACTAGCTACAAGAGATTGTAGCTAATTTGTAAGGAAAACTATAAATCTTCATGAATATCAATAGATCAATTTCAACATCTCATATTCCCCCATTGTGTCGCCATTGTAGTTTGACCTCATATATGCGCTGTTACTCCATCCCCCCCAAATCCCCTTCGTTAAATAATTTTTTTTTTGTAACAATGCGTGGCCAATGCAGAATACCGCTCCGTGCTGACTTCATTCTGGGCCGCAGCAGCGCTCACAATTGGAATAAAATAGGCCTTCTCGATCTTGATTCCTTAGGCGCTGACGCCACCACTACGAACAAAGATCGAATGCACGTCAGCGTTCTGCGCTGACAGCTGGCCTCTTGATATAAGGGTGAATCACCCTGATGACCCGTACTACGTATAAAGGTGTATTCTGATTCGGACCCTTACTTTACAAAGTGGATTTTTTTCTGACACTTACAGGAAAAGGTTGAATATGTTTAGGACCCTGAAATTTCAGAGTGACGTGGTGTAGTCACACTGATCGGGAACATACATCCTCCTCGAAACGAGGAGAATTAGCTCGAGAACCAAGTCCCGTGCATAACAATGCCCACCAAATGCCTCCCACAAGTATCGATCCCGCGTCCCTTGCACTACAACACCCACTGTGCTAAGTTGTCACACCAAAGATCCACTACTTATGTCTGATGAAACGTTCTTTATACCCTTACAAAAACGAGTGGTGCTTGCCTGATACCCTTACAGAAAGAGTGAAAGCAGCTGGTTACCCTTTTGAGAAAGACTCATTCAAATCTTATCCAGAGGCCTGGCTGACAGCCTGGAAGTCGCGCGACGCTGCGACCTGCATCGCCCTTAGCAGCCTCCTCCCTGAGTCTGAGGAGACCCACTTCACCCAGGTTCGCACTGCTAGTGAGTTCCTGACTGCAATCAGGCCCGCCACGCTACTCCCACCACTGTCTCTCTTGGTCGCCTGTTCCTCCCATTCCCGTTTTCTGGCCTCGCCTCGTTTGAGCGTGTCAAACATTGTATGTTTATATTGTGTAGGCTATAGTGGGTTTAGCCTTAGAGGGTACACAAACTTAGGGTTTCATACTTGTACCCACCTTCCTGCTAGTTCATTCATCCTCGTTCTATTCCAGATTCTAACATGGTATCACGAGCCTAGGTTGCTACCTAGGACCGCTTTCTCCAATGGGCCCACTATTCCGCTAGAAGCGCCCTCGTGCGCCCTACCTTACGTGCGCCCTCGTGCGCCCTACCTTACGTGCGCCCTCGTGCGCCCTACCTTACGTGCGCCCTCGTGCGCTCTACCTTACGTGCGCCCTCGTGCGCCCTCGTGCGCCTTTCTCTGCTAGTGCGCCTTCGTGCGCCCTCGTGCGCCCTCGTGCGCCCTCGTACGCCCTCGTGCGCCCTCGTGCGCCCTCGTACGCCCTCGTGCGCCCTCGTGCGCTCTCGAGCCGCCCCTGCAGGTCCGTCAGGCCAGTGCGCAGCCTCTGCACGACCGCACGCCGCCCCTGCAGGCTCTCGCCGCCCGCCGCGTCGCCCTGCCCGTGGCGTCACCGCCTCCCCGCGGCGTCGTCGCCTGCCCGCGACGTAGCCCCTGTCCGCGGCGTCGTCGCCTGCCCGCGGCGTCGTCGCCTGCCCGCGGCGTCGTCGCCTGCCCGCGACGTCGTCGCCTGCCCGCGGCGTCGTCGCCTGCCCGCGGCGTCGTCGCCTGCCCGCGGCGTCGTCGCCTGCCCGCGGCGTCGTCGCCTGCCCGCGGCGTCGTCCCCTGCCCGCGGCGTCGGCGCCTGCCCGCGGCGTCGTCGCCTGCCCGCGGCGTCGGCGCCTGCCCGCGGCGTCGTCGCCTACCCGCGGCGTCGCCACCTGCTAGCGGCGTCGCCCTACTCGCGGCGTCGCCACCTGCCCGCCGCGTCGCCCTGCCCGCGGCGTCGCCACCTGCCCGTCGCGTCGACCTGCCCGCGGCGTCGCCACCTGCCCGCCGCGTCGCCCTGCCCGCGGCGTCGCCACCTGCCCGCCGCGTCGACCTGCCCGCGGCGTCGCCACCTGCCCGCCGCGTCGCCCTACCTGCGGCGTCGCCACCTGCCCGCCGCGTCGCCCTGCCCGCGGCGTCGCCACCTGCCCGCCGCGTCGCCCTTCTCGCCGCGTCGCCCTGACCTAATCCGCCTCTCGCCCCTGGAGCAGCCGCCACTGCAGCAGCAGCTCATGGAGCAGCCGCCACTGCAGCAGCAGCCCCTGGAGCCGCCCGCCACTGCAGTAGCAGCCCCTGGAGCCGCCCGCCACTGCAGCAGCAGCCCCTGGAGCCGCTCGCCACTGCAGCAGCCGCCCCTGGAGCCGCCCGCCACTGCAGCAGCCCCCTCTGGAGCAGCACGTACCTGCAGCAGCCGCCCCTGGAGCAGCCCGCACCTGCAGCAGCCGCCCCTGGCCCCTGGAGCAACCACCGCTGCAGCAGCCGCCCCTGGCCCCTGGAGCCGCCGCCACTGCAGCAGCCGCCCCTGGCACCTGGAGCAGCTGCCGTCGCGGCCCGGCCTCGCCCTGCAGCAGCTGCCGCGGAGCTCCCTGCTGCGGCCCGGCCCAGCCCTGCAGTTGTAGCGGCCCCGCTGTCGCCACCGTCTTGCGCCTGCCGCGCCGACCACTGGTGAGCATTGCCCAGCACTGCTACCGCTGCTACTGCTGCTACTGCCTTTTCTACTCCCACTGCCACTGCTCCTGCTGTTACTGCTGTTGCTGCCGCTACTGCTACTACTGCTGCTCCTGGCGTGGCCAGATGCAGCTCCAGGGCCGTGCGCGTGAGTCCCTCACGCCCCAGCAGCTTCGTGCGCGTGAGTGGTACGCTAGTTGGGGCTGTCGGGGTGGCCGTAGTGGTGGTCGCTCTGGAGTGGGTCGGTCGGGAGCTTCTGGTAGTGGACAGGTGCAGCTGCCGTGTCCTCCTTCGCCCCAGCTGCTTCGTGCGCGTGCGTGGTACGCTAGTTGGGGCTGTCGGGGTGGCCGTAGTGGTAGTCGCTCTGGAGTGGGTCGGTCGGGAGCTTCTGGTAGTGGACAGGTGCAGCTGCCGTGTCCTCCTTCGCCCCAGGTGCTTCGTGCGCGTGAGTGGTACGCTAGTTTGGGCTGTCGGGGTGGCCGTAGTGGTAGTCGCTCTGGAGTGCATCGTTCGGGAGCTTTTGGTCATGGACAGGTGCAGCTGCCGTGTCCTGTCAGTGAGGCTGCCGCTCTAGGTGCTAGTACGTCTGTTGCCCTAGGTGCTGGTGAGGCTCCCACTCCCGGTACTCGCGTGTCTGCTACCTCAGGTGATGGTGAGGCTGTCGCTCTAGGTGCTAGTGAGTCTGTCTCCCCTGGTACTGAGTCGACTGAGGCACTGCACACCTTCACCCTGGACTCAGGTGCTTCTCGCTGTTTCTTTCGTGACCGCACTGCCCTTGAGCCGCTTGCTCGGCCAGTTGCTGTCTCCCTCGCTGACCCCTCTGGGGGTTCGGTCATTGCGACCTCCTCCACTGTTCTTCCCTGTCCTGCGGTCCCGTCAGGCACACTGTCAGGTCTCTACCTCCCCTCGTTCTCTACGAACTTGGTGGCAGGTTGTGCGCTCCAGGACAGGGGTGTTCACCAGTTCACCCCTGCCTACGAGCGCGTGACACACTGCACGTGTGCTCGGACGGGCCGTCACCTGGCTACCTTCACTCGGCAGCCGGGGTCGGACCTGTACACACTGACCACTGAGTCCCCTCAGGTAGCTGCGTCCGCGTCCGCGTCTGCGCCAGGCCAGCTGTCGGCCCCCTGCTCGTGTCGCTCTCTGGCGCACGACACCGTCCTCTGGCACCACCGACTTGGCCACCCGTCTGTGCAGCGCCTTCGTGCCATGCACAAACGGCACCTTGTCTCTGGTCTTCCCAGGGTTCTCCCTCCCCTCCCACCCTCGCCTGCTCCTCCCTGTCTTCCCTGTGTCGAGGGGCGGCAGCGCGCCGCTCCTCACTCCTCCTCCTTTCCCCCGACGACTGCTCCCTTGCAGACGCTCCACATGGACGTGTGGGGCCCAGCCCGCGTCCGTGGTCAGAGTCAGGAGAGGTACTTCCTGATAGTTGTTGACGACTACTCGCGCTACACCACGGTCTTCCCCTTGCGCACCAAGGGTGAAGTCCCTGCTGTTTTGATCCCCTGGATCAGCAGAGCTCGTCTCCAGCTAGGCAAGCGTTTTCGCTCGGACTTTCCTGTCCTGCGCTTGCACTCTGACAGAGGTGGTGAGTTCTCCTCCGACCTCTTGGCAGCCTACTGTGCCGAGCACGGCATTGAGCAGTCGTTCACGCTTCCGG